GACATGAAACTCAAAAAAAACAAAATACTTTAGATGTGTTTTTGACAGTTTATTCAGAAGGAAATGAAAAGAGGGAGCACCAAAAAATGTTTATGTCCACCTATTCCTAATCCTAACTTTAAATCCATGTTTCATGTAGAGGATAACAGATACATTAGGACAAACCTCATGACCTTTCACCATTTCAACATGATAATTATGGATAATAGCAGCAACCACAGCTTTCATTTGTGTGAAAGCCACTTCTTTCCCTAAACAAATCCTTGGTCCTGCATTGAAAGAAAAGAACTTGTAAGATGGCTCATGTTTCACTGTTCCTCGTTCTGAAATCCATCTCTCTGGCTTGAACTCCAATGCATCTTTTCCCCATACTGATTCCATCCTCCCCATCGCGTACAAAATAACCATCACTCTCATCTTGGGATGAACACGGTGTCCACTGGGGAGAACATCGGGTTCTTGTGGAGTCTTTAGTTGAAACGGAACGGGGGATATAGCCTTAACGATTCACACAATGCAGCGTGTAAATATATTGCATTTTTTAATTCGCCCCCCTTAAAAAGTCTTTGTTTTTCGCCTTCTTCTCCCAACGAGATGATTGCCTTGAGTTCTTCCCTTATTTTCTTCTCAATCTCGGGGTGTGTCACAACTAGCCAGATGAACCATGTAAGTCCTGAGCTAGTTGTGTCACGCCCCGCGATCATAAAGTTCAATATGGTATCCCTCAAGAATTTGTCATCAAACATTAGCCCTGTTTTTATTTCTCCATCATCATTAGCTATGTATGATGCTAATAAATCAACACCCTCCTCCTCTTCTTTTTCGTTCATTTTTTCTCCTTTAGCTCTCAATTCATCGCGTTTCATTGATATATACTTACCTATAACTCGGTCAATGACTTCCCTAGCATCGCGTAATTTCTTTTCAGGCCCAATTCCAAGCCATTTTTGCAACTTCCAAACACATTGTGGCAACAAATTACGTATGACCATGACCTCTCCCGCGTCATTCATTGCTTTCATGAAGGCAATGTTGTTAAGATCGACAGAGAGGGAGCCAGGATCGAACCCTGTCACTAATATACAAGTCGTATCAAACGTGAATCTTTGAAAAACATCTTGTAAATCGAAAACTATACCTTCTTTAGCCATGAATTCGAGGACCGGGACAAGTCCATTTTTCACCATATCACAACTAGTTTTCACTAAAAAATTGTGAAATGTATGATGTGTGATCAATGTTTTAGCAATTTTCCTTTGATTCTTCCACAAATCAAAGTCAGCATTGAATATTCCATCACCTAAACCATCAAAAATCTTCTTAAATTTTGGTCCTTTCTGAAAATTTTGGAAATTTGCACTCATAATATAATGTACATTTTTAGGATCCACTGTCCCTAAAATGTCCATATTTGCAAAACATGGACCTTTTACTAAGGCAGTAGCTCCAATTCTTGAAAATAATATTGTAAGGCTTTGGTGGATTGTGTTTATATGGAAAAAAAGGCTTGGGAATTCTCCAAAAAAATGGCCATTTCCTCCCAAAGTCACCTTTTCCTCCAAAAGCCAACACAAAAAAGAAAAAAGTTGCTACAAATATTTCAATGTAACCTATTGAGGCTAATACTAGAAAATTGAAAGCCATGGTTTACTTCATGTTTTATGGATAAAAACTTTACTATTTTATAGAGTCATGATGTGAATATGATTGGAGTTTTAAGTTATATGTATCGACAGTGTAAAAAATATTTATATGGCAGGTTGCTTATTAGGTAATTACGTGTGAGTTTAAGTTATATATATACATTATTGTATAATGGATTGTAGCAGCTAGCAAGTTTTTATTTTAAAGATTACAAATTTCATATTTTAAGTCGCGATTATTTCAACAAAATTAAAGTTTAAAAGTATTAATATAGTACTCATATTTGATTTATATATTTGTATTTTTGTTACTATTTGTGTCAGATCAGTCGAACACAATATTATCCCTTAGTCGTCATTAAAAAGTCTTGCCATTGCCTTATTAAAATAATGGTTAAGCTATCGAAATAGTTTAACTGGCCACGTATTATCTCATGACGCCTTTGCGTAAGGGACACAAATAGTTTGCCATGATAATTGAGGACAAGATTGGCATTTGCTTTTACAAACCACTCTCATTTGTTACTTCCGGGCTACGTTTAAATTAAATATACCAGGATCAAAACAAATATTAATATTTCAAAAAAACAAAAATACCTGAAAATTGCCTAATAATTCACATCAACAGGGGGCAATTGCTAAAGATTTATAGGATAAGATGAAAAGGTGAAGAGTTGTTTAAGTTAATTTTCAGAAGTTAGTGATCTTAGACATGGAGGAGAGGAAAGGTTGATTGTTTTTACTAATAATTCAATACATTTAATTACACTAATTATAGAGAAAGGATAATAAATTTAACCACACTAATTATAGAGAAAGAATAAAGAATAAAGGATAAACGCTTTAATTATCTTTTTTTTTATATAAAAACGTTTTATCTAATTAACAAATTTAATCCATTTAAACATAACGGTTCTTTAAAGAATTAGATAAAGCGTTTATATATAAAAAAAAAAGTAATTCCTAACAACTTTCTATGAAATAATTTCTAACAATTTTCTATGAAATATTTTTGTCTCTCAAAGTTTGACTTTACACCATCTTATTTTTAGTATTTAGTATAATATGATATAATTATTACTTAGTATTTAAATAATTAGATATTTAATGATATTTTAATTTAGTGTGAGGGTAATATGGTAATTCAACTTTGCATATTGGAGCTTCCCACTTTTAATATAACTAGTTTTTGAGAACGTGTGTTGCACGTTTGTCCCTCGTAATTACTACAAGATTTCTATATAGTTTTTAAAAATTGAATTTCAGGATAGAAAATCTATGTGTATTGCACGCTACTTAGTATAAATATTTGTAAATGATTTAAATACATTTACAATATGTATAAATAGCCATTCATAAAATTAATTAATCAAAAGAGAAGAGTGTAACACCAAATTAAAGCTTAACATCAAATGGACAATTTGACAATCATATCAAATAGTTTAAAGAAATTATAAATTTCACATGAGTTATTAGTTGTGAAGATCTCACATAATGCTTGAAGATAATATATAAAAACTTATCAATATCCATTACATTAATATAGCATCACAATAAATTATACAACTTCTGATGTACATTATGTTTATCCCACAAATATTCAAAAATAAGATGAAATAGAGTAGACTAAAAGCAATAAAATAACTAATGAATTCTAAAACTTTTAAATAACAAAAATTAAAGAGAGAAACCGTTCTAGTTTAAAAGAATGGAGGAACTTCCCAATAACTAACAAAAGCATAAATAGATTTACCTCTTTTTATTGCATATGTGATGAGCAATTACATCCAGCACCAATCATCCATCAACAATTATACATTAGAATAACTAAGTGTATGCATTAACATAAAGTGACTGTGTTGAGCAATGTAATTACATCCACCAATAATCATCCATCAACAATTATACATTGGAATAACGAAGTGTATGCATTAATATAAAGTGATTTTGAAAACATTTTTTTGGTATGTATAACAGTCAAGAATTATAAAAGTCATTTAAAAATTGATGATATACATAACATCTATGAGAATTAGATTGGTTAAAGTTGAGAAATGTAAAGTTTTTGACTAAAATCTAAATATGTGTGTCATATTAAGATGTATGGTAATTCAAATGACATTTTTGTTCTTTAATGTTAAAGAATATTTCAGTTTTTAAAGGATATAATTTACTGCATTTTATTGTTACGAAACACTTTCATCTACCAAACTCCATTTTAGAATGAAAACAAATTTAATATTTTGTGAATTGATTCTATCTAGAAATATAATGGATTAATACCATATAATTATTATTTAATATTTTATTAATTAGTTTTTTTAATAATATTTAAATTTAGTGAAGGGGTAAAATCGTAATCCAACTCTGAAGTTAAGATCTTCCCACTTATAATGCATATATATATATATAATAAGGTAATTAGTTTATTATAAATATAGTCATATTTTATTATATAAAAAATAGATAAGAAAATTATAATAAATAAACATCGGTTATATAATAATATAACTTGTCAAAAGTCATAGAAAATATACAGTGACTATATAATAGTATAGTTTATTTATACATTAGCTATATACTGACTATACAATATAACTTACTAAAAGTTATAGAAAGTATACACTGACTATACAATATATCTTACCTATACATTAGCTATAAAAAAAATTAAAATATATCTGAAGTTTGACTTTATTAAGGTTATAACTTTACTTAAAAATCTTCGGAGTTATAACTCCGGTTAAACTTACGTAAAAAAGAATATCTCAAGTTTAATTTGACCTTGTCAATTCTACAGCTTTAATAAAAAATGCTTAAAGTTGGTATTATTACCAAACCTTACCAAACTTCAAGCCAAAATATATGATGTTTAGCTTTTACGAGGCCACACTTTAGATAAAATTGTTCGAACTGAGATGCGAAATTTTTAACTTCAGTCGCGTATTTCTGAATTTGTTTCCGATGCAGATAAACTTGAAAAAATAAAATAAAATAGGATATAATTTAAATGGCATCCCAAAAGTGAGTAATGCACTTCACCCAAGTTACTTTCCGTAAAGAGTTGCTCCGTCCGTTTTAATTCATTTGTCTGATTTAGACTTGATATGAAGTTTAAAAAAGTAAAGAAGACATTTGAATCTCATGTTTTTAACTAAAAATATATAGAATGTACCAGAATGTCATTTAGTCTTGGAGTTTTAAGCATGCAATGTAGAAAGTTCAAATAAAAGAGTTGTCAAAAAAGGAAAAAGACATTATTTCTAGAACATACAAAAAAAATGAAAGTAACACAAACAAATAAAACAGATGGAGTGGACTACATATATACTTCCACATATAAAGTACTATTCCCACCTCCTCTTAATCCTAACTTAAAAGCCATGTTTCATGTAGATCATAACAGAGATATTGGGACAAACAGTATGGCCTTTTACCATTTCAATTTGGTAATTATGAATGATAGTTGAAGCAACAATTTTCATTTGAGTAAATGCCACTTCTTTCCCTAAGCAAGTCCTTGGCCCTCCATTGAAAGAAAAGAACTTGTAAGATGGCTCATGTTTAACGGTTCCCCGATCTGAAATCCATCTCTCTGGCTTGAATTCTGAGGCATCGTATCCCCATACGGATTCCATCCTCCCCATTGCATATAACGGAATCATCACTCTCATATTCGAATGAACATGGTGTCCACTTGGGAGAATATCGGGTTCTAGTGGAGTCTTGTGCTGGATTGGAACAGGGGGATATAGCCTTAACGATTCACACAATGCAGCATGTAAATATATTGCATTTTTCACATCATCCACCTTAAAAAGCCTCCGTTTTTCACCTTCTCCCAACAAGACCATTGCCTTAAGTTCTTCCCTTATTTTCTTCTCAATCTCGGGGTGTGTGACAACTAGCCAGATGAACCAAGTAAGGCCCAAGGCAACTGTGTCATGCCCCGCGAACATGAAGTTCAGTATGGTATCCCTCAAGAACTTGTCGTCAAACTTTTGCCCTGTTTTGGTTTTTGCATCATTTACCATGTATGATGTTAATAAATCATAACTCTCTTCATCTTCCTCGGATTTTGTTGCATTGCTCAATTCGTCATGTTTCATCGATATATACTTGCCAATGACTTGGTCAAGGACTTCCTCTGCTTTGCGTGGTTTCTTTTCAGTCCCAAATCCAAGCCATTGTTGCAACTTCCAAACACTTTTGGGCAACAAATGGCGTATGAAACATACGTCTTTAGCATCGTCCATGGCGTTCAAGAAGGGAACGTCCACGAGTTCAAGAGAGAGGCAGTCAGGATCAAAGCCAGTGAGTAGCATACATGTTGTATCAAGTGTTAATCTCTTGAAAACATCTTGCAAATCAAGAACTCTGCTTTCTTTAGCTACGAATTCAAGAACGGGAATCAGGCCATTTTCGACCTTGTGAACGTTGGTTTTCACCAAACACTTGTGGAATCTCTGATGAATGATCATTTCTCTCGCGAGCTTCCTCTGATTCTTCCACAATTCCAAGTCGGAATTGAAAATTCCATCGCCTAAAACATTGAAAATCTTCTTGAGTTCATGCCCTTTAGGGAATTCGGAAAATTTGCACTCATGATATAGTGCACATTTGCAGGATCCACTGTGCCAAGAATATCCATGTTAGTAAACCAAAGGCCTTTCAGCAAGAAAGTACCTCTGCACTTCTTTCATGAATTCTATGTATATGCATAAGAAGGCTCAGGAACATTCCGAAAATCGGGCAATTTCTTGGTAGGCCATGTTTGTTATCTGCTAAAGACCAGAATACACAAGAGAAAAATATTGCTATAAAGATTTCAAGGCACCCTATTGAAGCCAATAGAGAAGTGAGAGCCATTTTAAGCATAGTGTTTATTTTCTCTTTGAGGCTTTCCTTCAAACAGTTTATGGACAACCCTATATATATAAAGGATGAAAGGATCAAAAGCACATCTAAAGTGTTTCGACTCATATTTGAACTATCGCCAAATGTTTATCCGAACACACCTTAACTATCAGTTGTTCAATTTTCCTACTTGAATGATGGTAATATTTCAAATTGTAAAAGTGAACAAATCATGATAGTTGAGGTGTGTTTCGATAACATTTGATAATGGTTTAGGATAGAAAACTCACACCGTTAACTCATATATAAAGGGGGTATGAATCACGGGTCCCTCCAAACCAACTGAATCATCCGAAGGACCTTTTTTTATTAGTTTCCACACTCCAAATTAGTGGAAGATTTAGAATCATACTTTACCTCTATTTATTCAACCTTTTTTCTACACTTCTACTTTAAGTAGGCTACTTCTTAATCCTATAGGAGATCCACATATATATTCAACAACTTACTTGTAAAATCAAATACCAAACAAACATACAACAAATTCATTAATGAAATTTTACATCCCTATATGAAAGTAAATAAAAAAATTAATAGGCAACAAATTGAACAAACAAAACATACTTATACTTGATACATACAATATTATCCTTAATAATTAAGTCCACCTCTTATTAATCCTAACTTTAAAACCATGTCTCATGTAGAGAATAATAGAAGCATTTGGTTCAACAATGTGCCCTTTAACAAGTTCAACTTGATAATTGTGAATAATAGCAGCAGCCACAGCCTTCATTTGTGTAAAAGCCACTTCTTTACCAAGACAAGTTCTTGGTCCAGCATTAAAAGCCAAAAACTTGTATGATGGCTCATGTTTAATCGTCCCTCGTTCTGAAATCCACCTCTCTGGCTTAAATTCCAAACAATCTTTCCCCCAAATCGACTCCATTCTCCCCATCGCGTACAATGAAAACATAATCTTTAACTTTGGATGAACTTTGTGTCCACTTGGAAGTATGTCTTCCTCAAGAGGCTCCTTGTGTTGGAATGGCACCGGTGGATATAGCCTTAGTGAATCACACAATGCACCATGTAAGTAAACAAGTTTGTTCAATTCTTGAACATTAAAAAGCTTAAATTTTTCGACTTCTTCATTAGGGATAACAAAGTTGATTTCGTCCCTAATCTTTTTTTCCACTTGTGGATTTGTTGACACAAGCCAAATGAACCATGTGAGAGCAGAGCTAGTCGTGTCACGCCCTGCTATCATAAGATTCAATATATTGTCCCTCAAGAACTTGTCATCACACTTAACTCCCAAACTTTTTTCATCCTTTAGGTAAAATGTCAAGAGGTCAAATCCCTCTTCACTCTCTTTCAAATCGTCTCCTTCCTTCAAATCTTCGCGCTTCTTGGAAATGTATTTATCTATAGTATAGTCCAATACCTCCTGAGCATTAATCATCTTCTTTTCTTCTCCAATTCTAAGCCATCTTTGCAACTTCCAAACAATCTCAGGCAATGCATGACGAAAAAGAATAGCTTCTTCAACATCATCCATTGCTTTCGAGAAGGGAACATCAGGGAAATCTATCGATACACATCCAGGATCATATCCAGTAACCAATATACAAGTTGTGTCAAAAGTGAACCTTTGAAACAAATCTTGCAAATCCACAACACAACCCTTGTTACAAACATGATCAATAACCGGAATTAGTCCTTTCTCCACCTTATCGCGACTAGTCTTGACTAAAAACTTGTAGAACTCATGATGAGTGATGAGGGCACGCGTCATCTTCCTCTGAACCTTCCACATATCCAAATCCGCGTTGAATATACCATTACCTAAAACATCAAACATCTCTTTGAATTTAGGACCTTTAGGAAAATTCATGAAATTTGCACTCATGATATAATGAACATTAGCTGGATCAACTGTTGTTAATGTGTCCATATTTGCAAACCATAGACCTTTGAATAAAAATGTCCCCCCTGAGGCTCTCATTGACATAGTGCACCTTTCATGAATTTGTTGTATGTTGTAAAGTAATCCTGGTAACATACCAAAAATTGGAAAATTTATTGGATAATTTGAATGTCTAAAGCAATAAAACAAAAGAAAACAGAACAAACCTAGGAAAATTTCAATGTAGCCTAAGCCTATTAGTGCCATTTTAAAAAAAAAAATTGGCTAAGATTGAAAGATTTCAAAGTGAAATGGCACAAGGATGATTATGTGTGTAAATAAAATTTAAGACTTGCTTTTATAATACGTTTTCTCAAAGTAGCTAGGAGTGAAAGCTCTCTCACTATTTTTTTAATGTTTGTAAGTTTCTTCACAAATATTTTTTCTGGTTTCAAGTAGGAACACTACCTATTTTGAACTACCATCAAAAATAAAAGTAAAAGACATTCCTTCGAACCTAAAATATCTCTCATATTTCGCTTCTCGATATTCAAACTATATGAACTTTGACCAATATTTTAAGATGTGTAATTTTCATGACCATATTAATTAATATGAGAAGAACCGTTACGTATAGTTCTTTTTGCATAGTTTTTGAATATTTAAATTTTATTTTTAAAATATTGAATTAATCTGAACGGATTTAGTTTCAAAGATCAGTCGAATTGACTTTTGAAAAGGGGAAAATTACATATAAGTTGGGACGGAAGGGGTATGATTTTAGTTGGGAAGCAAAATTTTCTATCTGCATTTTTCTTTGTTGATTTTTTTATTTGTTTTATTTATAAGATAAATTAAACATGTCATGCATTATAGTTAGTTGATCTGCCTTATACTATTTAACATTTAACAATTAAGTTGTCCTTTTCAAAACTTTTTAAAAAAAATAAACAAAACAAGTATGCCATATGTAACGGTGAACAATTCGGTGGTTTCAATGAATATGACACTCTTGATATGATATGGAAAAAAAGTTAATTGGTGTATAAAGCATTCCATGTTAGTATGATTTGAGAAAAGACTGCAATCCTCATAGGTGTGATACATACAATTTAGTCTAATGTAAGTATTAGTGATTGCTTTCACGGCTTGAACTCGTAATCTATAAGTTAAACGAAAGCAACTTTACTGTTAAAAGCCCTCCTTTCAACATTGATATGATTTTAGTTTCAAAAATATGAAAGTTCATTAGGTACATAATAATACGGGAATCATCGCATAATTAACACATGCATCATTGATACGAAAAATCACGACGAAGATTTAATTTGACTATTCATTCAAATTTTACATTGGAATTATTTCAACTTTTGTAGACATACAAAATATTACATCTCTTTTGCATCACTCTACGAAAATACTCAATAAGATGTGATGTAGGAGTGACAAGCGGCCGGGCTGATCCGATTAGATATGAATGGATTGAAAATAAATTAAACGAAAATTGATAAAATATGTGACCCGCTTTTATTTTACACGGATGAAAAATTAGTTATTCGACCCATCCACCCCATTGCCATCCCTAGTGTAGTGTGGTCATAAAAATGTGATTTAATGCATTTACAATATTAAGAAATTTCTTGGTTGGTGGATGTTAGTTTGCAAAAATGAAGCTAACTTTATCCAAAAATAAATAAATGTCAGCACTTTGACTTGTGCATATATACAAAATTTAGCTTCTTTTTTTTTGAATGTTTCTTTTTATAAAATATTAATTATATATGCCAATTAGAATGTGTTCGTTAGAGAAGCTGGACCTAAGATTTATGAACGAGTCAATATTTTATTTTATTTTAATTTATTGTTGATTTGTTTAAACACTCTACATATTTCTATTCACCTTATATTATAAGAACCGTTGTATCAGAATATATCTTTGTATATATATTTTTTTATTTTTACGATATTCATATTAGAGTCCGATTAAATTCGAATTCATGTATTATATAAACCAGACGAGCATAACTTATAGGGGAAAGGTGCTAATATATATACCTCTTAACTTTACGATTTAGAGTTGATATACTCCAAGTTAGAAGTGACTCACTTATATCTTATCGTTATAAAAATGATATAGTTATCCCCTTTTCAACTAACAGAAGTGAACATATCAATTTTAATATTTTTTTTTATTAAAATAAAAGTCACATAAGGGTATATTTGACCATTTTTACAAAATTCAGGAGTATATTTGATCATTTTTATAAAGTTCAGAGGTATATTTGCAAACTTAAGAGGAATATGCTCGTAGAGGCAGTTTTTAAGTACAAACATATGAGTTCACGGGAACCAATAATATACCTACAGATGTTGGCTTTGATACCATGAAACAAAACGGAGAAAAGATTAAAAAGAATAATTAATTTTTATATTTAGAAAAAAATTAATTTTATATTTCTTATCTTGTTCTTAAGATGATGATAATTAGCCACACGGATATATATCTATATCTTCTTTAAATTATATATTTCAATAGTCTTTTTTTCTTTCAAAAGTCTTGTTTTTTTCCTTTTTTTTCAATTTGTGCCTGGTCAAATATTCTTAATTTAAATTTAAATAAGTTAGAAACAAGGAGATGATCCAAATTCCTAATTAGTAGTTACCCATTAGATAGGTTAGTAACCAATACCTAAACATAGGAAATTAACAAACATTCCTAACATTAAACATATATAATTATTTGAATTAAATTCTCAAGTTAGTTAAATTAGTTAGACATATATTTTTAGTTAAACATTCCTTGTGATAAGTTGGCTTCTTTGCAAGCGCATACTTGGCCATTTGGTTTATTATCAATGACGTACGGAGGATTTATTTTTGCAAGTAATCAATGTCAATGTTGAAAGAAGCAAGCAAACAAACGAATTACTAAATAGCATCATATTATAAAAAAAATATATTAATTCATATACGATATATTATGAATCGGAAGTTGAAAAGATATATAATTTATATTTGGTATAATAATTTAAACGAGGAACTAATGAAAAGAGAATTTGCAAAGTATATAATTTGTTGAAGAGATTCATGTCCTAGTGGAAATTGTACAAATCACAGTAAGAGATTAGAAAAACAAGTAATA